TGAAGGTGAGAGAACACCTACTAATATTTCGTACCTACCTTCCGACTTTCTGAATATATTTTAAAAATAAAAGGACACTTAAGAGAGAACCCATGAAACCACAAAAATTCATAGTCCTTTAGTGAAGTGCTTCACTACTTGCTAATAAATTCATGTCCAGACAAAAACAGCATGCTATTTGAACATTCTTAAAACTTCTTTAATGCAAATTTGAGAAAGTCATTCTCTTTAAAAAAAAAAAAAAAAAAAAACCAACAAAACTCAAGTCACATATTCGTAGAAATGATGCCACTATTGTACATGTCCATTCCTTGATGCAAAGAATTCAGAATGCTTGGGTATCACTCATTTTTGTCTACAGTAAATGCTTTGATTCATGCTCTACTGCATTCAACAACTCGCTTCATGTCAACAGGAGATTGTTGGGATGAATAAGTACTAGCTGTTAATTTCAAGATACTGAAATACAAATTAAAACTACAAAGTTAGCAATTTTAAAGAGTTTATTTTCATTGGATTACATAATGAAAATCATGCCATACTCCGCAGGCTTGGTATGGCTTATGACAGTCATAAGCTTCATATGCCAAAACCATATGAAAGCTTACCTTAGATGACAATATACATTCAAAAATCCTTACTGTGCTACAACTAAGGAAAAGAGAAAGAGAGAGAGAGAGAAGTTGTAAGCATTAATAAAGTGCTAACACCAAAGTTGAGTACTTGTTGGATGAAATTATGGTCATGATTATGATGAGGTGATTTCATTAATCCTTAGTCTTGTGAAAGATGTAGGAAAATAGAAGCACATGGAATGAAAGGTGGGGATCCAGTCACTGCAAAAGGATCATTAATATGTAAAACACTTATTAATATGCACGACTACTTTGCCAGAATAGGTGGCACAACAAATCTGATTGTACAGTGAATATTTACAGTAAGAGCTTCCAAACCATTAGCTTAAAAAAAAAAAAGAAAAGAAAAAGACCCCTACAACATATATATATTGTGTTTTTCAACAAAAGAAAAACATAGACAATACACAAAGTGTTAGTGCACATATATATATGTTGAAATTCTAAAGGCAAAATTATCAAGCATAAATATTAGACTAGTGTATTCTGTAATATATCGTTCTGAACTGATTTTATATAACTGATACAAATAAACGCAAGGCTTAAACTTAGGCTACAAAGTGAATACATGTATAATCTATAAAACTCTAAAGAAAGAACCCTAATTTTTTCCTCTTCTAAGAGCTGACACTATCTCTGGAAATTCAGAAATCAGATATTGTAAATTCAGGCATAGATCTACATCATCAGAGTTTACATCAGGTTGCTCACCCAGCCCCAAAGAACTCTTAATCTGCTCTTTCAAATGGGGGGGGGGTGAATCATGCATATAGTATAGGACTCATTTATCACTTAATATATTTTGTAAGGGGCCCTAGAATATTCTATCCTTTTAAGTTCATAAACATATGAAATAATTTGAGTCCCATGAAAATTTCCAAAAGGTTCAAAAATTGGATGGGTTAGAGATATTCTTTTGGTGAACCTGTAGCTGAAAAACCTTCAATATAAAGTTTCCACATATTGGATCTATATTTGTCTTCTCCCCCATCAAAAATGCCTGGAATACAACATAGCAAGCTTAAAATGTTCAGTTTTCTGAAGTTCATCATGAATCTAAGGAAACTATGCTGCAAACTGTCTTAAAGCTTAGTTATCTTAAACTTCCTACAGTTGAAAAAGGAAAACATTAAAGAAATGCCACTGATTCCCAAGTTTTGATAGTCTTATTATGAGGTCATCTTCAACTGTAGTTTTCTGGCTTCAATTACGGGGACATGTGGTATGGTACTTAGTTTTCTGACAAAACTTAGTTTCTACTTTATTTATTATCCTTGAATAATTTGGCCTCCTTGTTCATGGCATAAACACTGTATGCCATGAGCTGCTAAGAAATATAATTAAAAGCAAACAAGAAAGTCAAGCTTTACATGCAAAGTGCGTTTTCATGTAAGAGGAATGGAACGGAAAGTAGAAATATCCAGTGGGATATGAACTTTTTAAACCTGTTGCTGCCCCTCCAGGAAGATTGGTTGTCCAGGGGTATTTAGTCCTTGATATATCACTGCAGAATTAGAATATTTGTACCAGTATTTATTTATTCTCAGTTGACATTCTTACCTTTTTTTTCACAGCTTAACTTGATTCAAGTTACCTATTATCAGATAACAATCTGATGATAAACAATCTCAGTTTTACTTTTAGGACTAAAAGCTTTTATCAGTATATTACAGTTGATACCTTATTATGAACATATGTAATAGAATACATTATTCTTATTAAATTCAATTACTATACAATTTACTATACAATTACTAAAAATAATATATAATCTACATGCATAACATTATTCATTTTTATGGAGGACTCCAAATATTGAACCATTTATGAAAGCATTTTATATCATT